ACAAGTTCAAATATGTGCTTCTGACTATTTCTGTTTGTTGCAATGTTGATGTATATCACTGCTGTCGGAACAAAACCTTGTATCTCTAAAATGATAACTTTACAGGAGAAGCAAAAAACATACTTTACTTTTAATATAAATCAATGGAACCAGAATTTTGAGCCATTTCTTTTGGTACTTTCATCATGAAATTTATACACAATGTAAAGAGCAACAGGCATTTTCAAAATATGCCAAAAACTGAAAAATGACCAAAATGGAGATACAAGGTTTTGTTCTGACAGCAGCAATATATATATATATATATAGATATATATCAACTCCACCTACTATATAGGTGCACTTCATAGTTCTACAATTATGGACTGTAGTCCATCTGTTTCTCTGCATACTTTTTTACCCTGTTCTTCAGTGGTCAGGACCCCCACAGGACCCCCACAAACCGGGTAATATTTGGGGTGGATAATTCACAGCACTGCAGTGACAGTATGAGTGGATCAGACACAGCAGTGCTGCTGGAGTTTTGAAGTGTATATGGATTTGAAGTGGAAAACAGATTTCCAAATTGGTACTTTTACAGGAAAAAGCAACAACCTTTTTAGCTGCTAATGTAAGATACTTTTATTCCAAAAAAAGATTTTATTCCAAATGATTTTGGAGCATTTCTATTGGTCCATTCATCATGAAATTTCACACAATGTACAGCTGTTGTGCTCAAATTATATAGACAAAAAAGGAGACATGTTTTTCTTTGGACAGCAACAACAGTAAATAACAAAAACATAAGTATCTTGATACTGGATCCTCTCACTGTAATATTGATTGTCCTTCAAAATCACACATACGCATAATTATACAAACAGAAGGTTGCAACATACTTCTTAAGAGCTTGATACAAAGTGGAAAGGCTGTTTTTGATCGTGTTTTCTTTGTCTATGTTGGTTTCTCTCAGGCAGTTTAGATTAAACTCGTATGGAATAATGCTCAATAGTGCATAATAGTGGAAACGTAGTGAAGGACATGCTCATAGTAGAGTAATAATTATCCATGAACAAAGGCGTCAGTGACAGTTTCCTAGTGCTGGCCTAATGATATCTTCAAAGCAGCTTGATTTTATTGACAGGCTCTGTCTACAGATCTAAACAACACATGGCATCACATGTGCCAGTCTAGGGCCAAGCCGTAACAGAAAATGAGAATGGACTCTCTCCCCAGACCTGGTGCCAGACCAAACAGTGGACACTATTTAAACCAGAAAACAGCTCAGGTTTATTTTGTTAAGATAAGAGGTTAAGCTGGATGAGGGGATGACTTCAAGGATGAGCATATGCCTAAAATAACAAACAAATGCAACTAAAGACGACAAAATTAACTAGCCTGATAGGAAATGAAAGAAAAATACAACAAACTACCATAAAATCCCTACATAAAACAGGAGAAAAGGGATAATCAAAAGAAAATTAATCCCAAATTTTCACAGTCTAGTAAAGCTTTCATAAATTTAACAATCAAAGCAAAGTGACTGCCGAGTTGAAGTGAAGTGAAGATTGCTGTTAGTCTAGACAGGTGTACTTCCAAGTAGGAGAGAGCCCTGAATGTCCCCCAGGTAGTGGCTTGGTGACCACTTTACATACAGGAGGGCACCCCCATCTGGCCTATTACATACCTGCACATAACAGACCAACAAAAGAACCACACAAAATGGTCATGAAAAGACACAAAGAAAGGCTATTACTGAAATGTCCTGGCCTCGTGCTAGGCCACCTCCAGCTGCTAGGGGAAGACAAGGCACCATTAAGGGCTCATTAGGGTTAAGCAGTAACAGCTGTGGGCACGCTACTTAAGTGGTGCTCACATGTTGCTTTTTGCTCAGTCTTTAGTTCACAATGCCACGTGCATGTCTCAGACTAAGCCGGTAATTTCGGTATTAGCTCCTCTCTTGAGACTCGAGTTCTGGTTTTTCTAGTATCTTTCAGCGTAAGTATTAAAAAACATTAAAGAGTATTAAAAAAGTATTTAAGTATTAAAAAAGAACACGTTTATCTTCCATTCCATGCTCTCAAGTCTCTACTGCTCTCTTGTCCATCTCTTGTGCTTGGCCAGTGGCATACCCCATAGTGTTCTGGTATCTGCACAAGGGAACTGCCAGTTCGATCCCCGCTCGTCTTGAGCCAGCCATCATATTACAATTACGAGCACATGTATTCTTAGTAGAGGAAAGTGTGAAAATTCAAGGGCTTGTAATGTACCTAGAGTGGCTATTGTTTCATCCCCATTAGCACTGAGATGAGGCTCTTTAAAAGAAATGCTGTAAGGTCTATAATGTGTTGCACTCTTGACCCTGGTTAGTGTATTTTCCTCATGTATGGTAAAGTGCTCCAGGGCCTAACAGGGAATTACAGTAAAAGGCTGCCTATTTCAGTACTTCACAAAAGGTTGTCATACTAGTCTTTGGCAATTACTGCACAGAGGGGAATCTCAGTGTGGATGTGAGACTTAAGCAGAATAATAGAGGTGAAATGTGATGTTGACATTCAGACTTCAGTACAGAGAGTACCTCAGTCAAATATGAGGAGAGCGATGAGGCAGAATGTCAGAATTGAATAAAACATGTAAGCTGGAAATAACTGTCAGAGGAACTGCACTGTGGCCCGCAGTGGGGGAAAGCAAAAAAAATAAGGTTGTAGTAATGTAAGAATAAATGGTGATGTAGCAGGACCAGTTCTTGGCAAAGAGGACTTTGGCAATTGCCTAGGGTGGCAATTTTTCAGGGGCAACACTGGCGCTCCCAAAAGTCTTTGTCAGCAGTGCAAGTGCAAGTAATTAAATAATATAAAATAACAGTGAACAGTGTGATTCTTGGCTAAAACTGCTTATGCGTGTGTTTAGTCAGTGTTCAGTCATGCACAAATGTTAGAAACCAAACAAAAGTTATTTGTATTCCCCCTTGTGGAGAAAATTCAGCCTGATAAACAAAGTGAGCAACAAAGTCAGGTCCATGTGCTTCGCTTGCAAAAACAAATTTTTCCCTCATTATAGTGGAAGTACTTTGGAATTCAGCTGCAGTTAGTTGTGGAAAACCATTAAGTCTTGTTTCTTACACTGTTTATTTAAGTTATTTTATATATGTAGTAATGGTACATTAAATTGAGGTTGCAGTACTGGTAGGTTAAAATGAGGTTGCAATAAAATGAGGTTACAGTAATGTATTGTAAATTGAAGTTACAGTATTGGTAAGTTGAAAAGAGGTTGCAGTCATGGCAAGTAAAACTGAGGTTGCAGTACTGGTAAATTAAACTGAGGTTGCAATAAAATGTTAATTTGAGTTTGTAGTAGTGGTAAGTTAATTTGAGGTGTGCAGTAACGGTATAATAAATTGAAGTTGTGGTAATATGTTGACGTTGTAGTAATGGTATGTAAAAGTAAGGCTGCAGTAGTGGTAAGTTAATTTGAGGTTTGCAATAATGGTAAGTTAATTTGAGGTTTGCAGTAATGGTAAGTTAAATTGACGTTTCAGTAGTGATAAGTTAATTTAAAGTTAGAATAATGGTAAGTTAATGTGAGGGTGCAGTAATAGTTAAAAGTTAAACTAAGATTATAGTCAAGATAAGTTTAACTGAGCTTGGAGTAATGGTATGTTAAATTGAGGTTGTGCTAATATGTTAAACTGAGGCTGTAGTAATGGTACATTAAAATTAAGGTTGCATTAGTGATAAGTAAAACTGAGGTTGCAGAAGTGGTAAGGTACATTCATTTTGAAGATGTAGTAAGTCTTTTATTTCATTTTGAAGATGTAGTAAGCATTTTATTTCTGTAATGTTAAGTTAAATTGGTTGTAGTGCTGGAAAGTTATATTAAGGTTGCAGTCAGTGTAAGTTAAATTGAGGTTGCAGTACTGGTTAAATCAAGGTTGTAATCAGGGTTAATTAAATTGAGGTTGTAGTGCTGGTAAGTTAAATTGAAGTTGCAGTAATGGAAAATTAAATTGAGGTTGTGGTAATATGTTAAATTGAGATTTTAGTAGTGGTTCATTAAATTAAGGCTGCAGTAATGATAAATTAAATCGAGGTTGCAGAAGTATTAGGTTAAATTGAGGTTGAGGAAGTGGTGAGTCAAACTGAGGTTGCAGGAATAGTATGTTATATCTGTAATGTTAAGTTAAATTGGTTGTAGTCATAGTAAGTCAAAATAGGTGTTAGTTGAATTGAGGTTGCAGTAATGGAAAGTTAAATTGAGGTTGTGGTAATTTGTTAAATTGAGATTGTAGGCAGTAGACAAATATTTATTGGAAGCATATCATAATATTTAGTGTATAAAATGACACTTTGGAAATTGTGTGTTTGCATTTTATTTAACGTTTTTTCATCTACATAACAGCCACATCTTTGCATTTTTCCTGAGCCTCACTGAAGTCAAAAAAACTAACTAATTAAAAAATGTGTAGATTGATGTCTTTATTATTGGTTACTACTGGTAGGCAAAGAGACTCAATAGATAGGACTGTATACATGACTGAACACTCTTGATCCTGCATGGTCTTAATAGGGAAACCATTTATATGCATAGAGAACTTCTATTTTTTCATATGCTAAGCTGTGATTACATTGTTAGAGTTGTTGAATATAGTGGGACTTTGGAGGACCCCCTCACACCTGACAGATCAGGTTCATTATACAGGAGAAACCATCATCGCCTCTCCTCCAGTAGCCACGGCAACACACAACTTTGATTTTCCAGTTCATGGTCGAATAGGCAAACTTAACCAGCCCAAGTCTCTATCCTCTTTTACAGCCCCATACTTTTCCCAGAAACCTGGGCCAATTTTCAAACTGACACTTTGTTCTGAGCACTGCATTTCCATTTTTGCAGAAATGTCTTTTTTGTGATGGCCTATGTAATTTCCCAGAAGTAAAGAATATTCTAGCTTTGTGAGATGGATGAGGGTAAGAAACCGTTAACTGTTGTTGTGATTACACAGGCAGGCTCAGATGGCGAGATCACGGCAGAAGAGCAGGTGCAGATGCTGCTGGAAGCCAGACTGCAGTGCCTCCAGACAGTTTCTAGCCATGACCTCGCAGGTAAGAGAAATTACCCTGGCAATTTTCTCAAATAGCTTTTTCATTCTGCACTCACTAACCTTTTGACCTAAACCATATCAAAGTGCTTAGGGTACAACACATTCCAGAGTAGCGCTAAATTGATATGTAATTGCAATAAAAAATAAAAAAGTTTGGCTTGTCTGTTTGTACCCAGGTGCAAGTAGCACTGGCCAAAGTGCAGCTATTTGTACTCTGAAAGAAAACAAACAAACATACAAACAAAAAACAGGTGCATGTCTACCAACTGGGCAAGAGCTGTGAGTGCAGTAGAAAAAAATTCACAAGAGCTTTTTGCAAACATTGAATATAAATTGTCTTTAATGTAGAGTTATATTGAGTGGTTTTATCTGAGTGATGCTGGAGTTGACATCAAATTGGAAGAACAGCAAGGTGCAAAAAGCATCTGCCAACAATATTTTTTTTCACTCAATTTATATGGAGGTTTGCATGTTTTTCGCAGATTTTAATGATTTTGCTAAATTAATTTAGAATTTCCAAAAGTGTGAATTAAAATAGAACTTTGTTATTGGTAAATTCTGTCCGACCTGTATTAAATTAAAAACTGGACATTACATGAAAATTTTGCCTTATAAACCTGTACTCTCAATCAAAATGTGATGATTTCCAAAAAACATTGGGACAAGAGCATGTGTGTCATTTATTATTACTTATTTATTATTACTTATTATTTATTATTTATTTATTACTTTATTAGTCCCACAATGGGGAAATTCTCAGTGTTACACCAGCGAAGGGACAGCAAGGCACTCAAGAAAAGAAAAAAAGTAACAAGAATAGAATTTACAAGCAAGTAATTAACTTTGTTAATTACTTAACAAGGTTTTTATAGTTTGTTACTTGTTACTTTATAGACAATATATATATAATACTAAAAGTAAAAAATAATATAAAAATATAAACTCTATCCTTCACAAAAATTAACAATATAAAGGATTATAATCAATAACAGCTAAAATATTTACACTGTAAGGATATTTTGCCTGGATTTCACATGGAGTACTTCAAATGAGGTACTGATTTATATTATACATGGGATGGTGAGGAGTTAACAATATAAACATAATAAATAGGAAAGCAAAAAATCTTTACGCTATAGATATATTTTAAAAATATTGCACATGGAGTATTGATTATATTGCACACAGGAAATGGTGATGAATTCCACAGTTTATGTTCTGTAGGTGTGTGAGGTCTAATGGGGGGTGGAGGAGAGTTCTACTGGGAGCAGTGCTGATTTAAGGTGGGACAGGAAAATTACCTAGTTAGCTACCGAGACACCAGCATACTACTAGCGTTTTTTTATGCTTGCTATGAAGAAAATGACCATAATATATTGAAATGACATTAAACTGATATCATACAAAGGTTAACATAATTTTTGATTGGAGAAAATACTCACATTTGTGGGTTTCTGTGGTCTCTTGCGCAGCCGTCTTGCCATTTTTCTTTTTTTCTCATAACACTCTGTTTGGAGCGTGCCTCTGAAAAACCTCCATTTCCAGGGCCATATAGCCCTAACACTTCACCCTACCCCTCTATCTCAACAAAACTCTGGACATACTACCCCCAGATGTGAACGTGCAAAATGGAGGGGTAAAGGCTAAATGGTAGGTGCAAAGAGTGAAATGGGATTGGGCCTTAGTAATAGATTAGGGACTGAAGACAAATTAATCCAGCTTTGAAAGTGGAATTTTATGCCATTGATCTGTTATACAAGTCTTTAGCTGTGCAACCCTAAAGGGCCTTTGATGTCGCATTTAGTGGTTCATAATGCACCACAAATTTTTTAATAGGAGACTTTTAAACTGAAGACCCTAGCACCTGCACTCTCTCATTACGCAGCCATGTTGGAACCCATGCAGAATGTGTTGTCATGTTGAAATAAGCATGTTGTCTAGAAAAAGATGCCATCTAGAAGGCAGCATCTGTTGCTCAGAAATGTGTACATATCTTTCAGTCTTGATGGTGGCTTTACAGATTTGCACCCACTAATACCCCCCACCATATCATGGCCTTGGCAGCAGTCTCAATAATCCTTTTCCACTTTGGCCTGGAGAACATTACATCCATTATTTTCATAAAAAAAAAAAATCTGAAATGTTGACTTATCAGACCACAGAATTTACACTGCGCATCAGTCCATTTCAATGGCCTCACACTAGTAAAGGCCCAGAGAAGTCGGCGGTGTTTCTAGATGTTGTCGAAATATGGCTTCTGCTGTGCATAGTACAGTCTTTTGCATTTGTGGTGCAGTGGATGCAGTATTTATTGACAATGAGCCCATAAGATGACGTCCATTACATAAGCATGCTGGGTTTTAATGCAGTGCCATCTGAGGGATCAAAAATTATGTTCAACCTAACACTTTTTCTCTATATTCCCTGAATCTTTTGATATTATGCACCGTAAACGTGATTTTTTTTATTTATTTGCATTTCACATACTGCCCCAACTTTTTTGGAATTGAGGTTTGTACAAGAATAATGCCAAAATGTTCTTTGGAGATCAGTATATGGCATCAGTCCAAAGATACCTTTCCGACACCTTTATTTTGAAGTGTAGAGTACTTTCATTCTCAACCCTTTGGCAACACTATTTTTTTTTCCACACCTCATTGGCTTTTTTGGTTTGTTATTCATTTTGCCTCATACTGATGAAACAGTAGAACATTGCTGCCTGTGGATAAAAAAACACCTTTGTTTTGGATGATTCACAATGAACTGAATTCAGTGGCTGCACATCAGTAATGGATTTACAGGGCAGCCCTAAAATCAGATTTGCCTCACCTGCCCATACCCCCTTTTATCACCTTAACCCATCATCCAGCTTTTAGCTGATTATTTTGACTCATATGCCACATCAAACTCATCACACCATTTTTGATCCAGTTCATGAACCTAGTCAGAGAACAAACTGAAAGCATTAGCAAGTCAGTAATTCAAGCTAATATGCTTTAATTTCCCCATTTCCTGTGTCATGTGTAAATGGAAGGCATAACACAGTCTTGTTAGAAAAATAGAGATTAGATTATTAGAAATAGGAGACATATTTGATAGAATCCAGTCTTGCATGATGAAGGGAACCTATAACTCTGTACTGTTGACCTCTTGTTTACTGACTTTTTGGTGGAAGTACAATATCATCCAGAATAGTCTGTTATTATTCTATTATTTTAAAAAGTAGTTGCTTTTGAAGATCAGTACCAGATCAACACGGGTAGATTTTTGAGCCCCCTAAAATTTTTTAAATTCTTGCCTCACCTCATTTCCCTCAGCAGAACATGAACAGAATATGAGCAACATGACTGAAATTGGCTGAAATTGCATTGTTTCTCAAAAGCACTAATCTTGGCTATCAAAGCAAAACTCTATAAATGAGCTGTTTTTGAGGACAGATACATTATGCAAAGCTCATTAAAATCTCTGCAGTCGTACTCGATTATTCAGCTAGATCAGAGGTGTCAAACTCAACCACTAAAGATGCCACGTTAAAAAAATCTCAACAAATCTGTGGGCCAAAGAAAAAAAAATTGTTTTTATTTCATTAATGTTGTGCTATAACCTGAATTAGCCATTGTTTATTCAAAGCAAAGCCAAAACTTTAGCAGTAAAATACAGACATTTACAGTAGACCATGAAATATTACATGAATACTTGAAATATTTAAAGTTTAAATGTCCCTTGGAGCTCGGTCATTAAACCTACCTATTTGCTTGAACTAGACACCTGGATCCTTTCTTTGCTGCAAGTTCATTAATACTCGGGCTCAGTTTTTGAGCTGCTGAGCTGACATTTGATATTGGTTGAACTGCAGCTGAAATGCAGTTATTATGTTTGGTGATATGATTGGTGTGGGATTGTGTAGAATTATGTAGAATTGAGGTATAAATACTGTCCCATAGACTGTTGTTGGTGTAGGAAAGCTGGAGCAAACATAACGTTGCAGTGCATGCTGGGGATTGTAGTGCAGCACATTGTGAAATGGGCTAATATTAATAGAAAATTTAAATACTTTTGCGGGCCGGATAGGATTGTGTCGTGGGCCTGATCTGGCCCTGTGTTTGGCCCTGATCTGGCCCTGTGTTTGACACATGGAAGCTAGATCATGAAAGTCAGTCGTAGAACAATGGAGATGGTTTAACGTGACATCATAACACAAAAAAAGAGGTTGTGTTGCACTACACAGAAAATTGTGACAGCTCACGTTTATTTCTGGAAAAATGGGGGATATACTATCGTTCCTGTTTTTGTTCTTTTTTCAGTCTGATTTGTGATTTTTGTTTTCGTTTGTTTTTTTTTTTGTGTGGCATTTTCATTGAAATTAACCTCAAAATTCTTGTTCTTCCTACAAACTGTGACTGGATTAAACCACTGAGCATTTACACATGGTGGTCCACTAAAGGGGTAACTTTACTGAAGTGTTTCAGTTATGTATCAAAAAGCCTAAAAATCACAAAAACAGTCTTAGTCCCATGCCAAAAAGAAGATTCAATTGATTTGTCAAATTTTCTGCATTATTCAACCATTGAGATGTAAACGGAGTCATTTAGAGTGGTCCACTGTGGATACATTTGTCAGAATTGGTGATAGGAGCCAGAACCATTTAATGCCTCTAAAAAGTACATGAAAATGTTATGAATATGCTGTCTGATGTCTGAGACATGATAGTTTTGAGAGAAGATTATGGCCTACAACATATTTTTAAAATCCAATCCTGGTAAGGGGGAACATGCCAGGTATTCAAAGCCTAAATAGTCCCCAAAGAAAGCTTTTCTTTCAGATTTAGCACTATTTTAACATCATCAACATTACACATATAAACTCAGAAGACACGTGTAGGTTCACTGGTGGTTTTGAATAGTAAATAAAATGGCTATAGTTGTGTTGTAGTCATGGCGACCCCTGGTTCCTATCACCACCACTGTAAATCTGAGTCTGTAAGTTTCTCTACAATGAACC